AGAGAGATAGAGAGAATGAGAGAGAGAGAGAGATATAAAAAGAGATAGGGAGATAGAGAGAGAAAGAGAGAGCGAGAGAAAGAGAGAGAGAGAGAGAGATAGACAGAGACAGAGAGCAAGAGAGAGAGATAGAGAGAGAGAGGGAGATAAAGAGAGAGAGAGAGAGAGAGAGAGAGAGAGAGAGAGAGAGAGAGAGAGAGAGAGAGAGAGAGAGAGAGAGAGAGAGAGAGATAGAGAGAGATAGAAAGAGAGAGAGAAAGAGAGATAGAGATAGAGAGAGAAAGATAGAAAGAGAGAGAGATATATAGAGAGAGAGAGGGAGAGAGATAGAGAGAGAGAGAGAGATAGAGATAATGAGAGAGAGAGAGAGAGAGATAGAGAGAGAGAGAGAGAGAGAGAGAGAGAGAGAGAGAGATAGAGAGAGCAAGAGAGAGCGAGAGAGAGAGAGAGAGAGAGAGAGAGAGAGAGAGAGAGAGAGATAGAGAGAGAGATTCTCGGATGACTGTGACCTCCTCGACCCTAAGTCCAACAAGCTCCTAGCACGCTTCACGCTCAACAGCAGCAAGCTCTACACGTTGTGTTCACCTGCACCTCTCGCCGCCCTCTCCCAAGCGCTAGCTGCCAGCACCACTCCGTGTTCCTACCGCAGCATCGCCAACCCAACCATCCTCTACCACTATCGCTTGGGTCACCCCAACTTCCGTACGCTTGCTGACATCGCTTCCGAGAAACTTCTTCTTGGCCTCCCGTCGGCGCTTCCTCCACCAACAGACTCGCCTGCACCCATCTGTCTGGACTGCACCAAGAGCAAGCTCAGGCAGCAGCTGCACCCTTCCTTCCCATCCGTTGCAGCTGCTCCGCTGGACCTAGTGCACATGGATGTCTGGGGCCCAGCTCCAGTCGCATCTCGAGGCGGTCATCGGTACTTTCTTACACTAGTCGATGACCACTCGCGGTATGTTTCTGTGCACCTCCTGCATACCAAGGTGGAGGCACCTGATGTCATCATGGCGTGGGTGCGCCAGGCTCAAGTCACGTTCGGCACTCCTCTGAAGTGCCTCCATTCTGATGGCGGGGGAGAATTTCGCAATGGCAAACTCGATAACTTCTGTGCGGCCCAAGGGATTCGGCAAACGTCCATGCTCCCTGAAAGCCCGCAGCAGAACGGCATTGCAGAGAGCCGCAACCACACCTTGGTTCAGATCGCTCGCTGCCTCCTCAGTCACGCCAATGCACCATGGTCACTCTGGGGATATGCTCTCTTCCATGCGGCACTCCTCTACAATCTTTATCCGCATCCCCACCGGCCCGACACCACACCTACCACTCTCTGGCTTGGGGCCACGCCCTCCGCCCGCTCTCTACGCATCTGGGGGTGTACCGCGTATGTGTTGCTAAGCCCCCACACGCGCAAGAAGCAAGGTGGCAAGCTTGGTCCCAAAACCCAGACCTGCATGTACCTGGGGCACAACTCCGACTCCCCAGACTACTTATTCCTCAACCCCATCACCAGACAGCTGATTCGCAACCGTGATGTCGTCTTCGATGAGACACGCCCCTTCCACTCTGCGCCCACGGGCGAGCCTCCTCCACCTCCCCCGACGCTTGTATGGGCAGACTTTGATGCCCCACCTCCGGCCGTTGCCCCTTCTCCGGGGCCTTCTCCGTCCGGCGTGTCTCACCCGGCCTCCACGGTATCCTCCGCTCTAGTCACACTCGTTCCAAGGGACCGGCTCCGCCTCTCGCCTGGGGACCAGCCGCCTTCTCCATCCGGTGTTTGGTCACCCCGCCTCCTCCTGCCGGGGGTGATGTCCCCTACATCCGTATTCCCCCTCGTGCACTTCTGGAGGACAGGCATGAGGAGCTGTTTGAACTTCACGCGGTCAGCCAATTTCTCTCTCACATCTTCCCGGACATTACTGACTGCCCTTCCCTCAACTTCACCGAGAACCCGACCATTCCGACTCCTCACACAAAAGAGGAACCTCAGTCGGGGCCGACGGGAGGGGAGGGGACAATCGACGGGAGGGGAGTGACGTGAGACACACCAGACGGAGCAGGACGGGGAGGAAGGTGAGCAGGGCCTACCAGGGGAATGGGGACCAGAAACAGGGGAGGTGAAATCGGGAGATCTCGGTGGGGAAAGCGGTGGTAAAAGGAGACTCCTCGAAATTGGCGTCATAGGAGCGAATGAAGCAGTGAGACGGCAGGTGGTAAAAGTGCCAGTCAAACGAGTCCAGGGGGAAACCGTGGACGACACAGGGGAGACCGTGGGCAGTGAGCTTGTCCGTGCCAGAGGCACTAACGTGAGCGAGGCAGCCCCAGATGTGGAACGCAGATGCGTCACCAGGGAACCCGATTTAAAGAAGGGTCGGCGAAACCTGCGGCTGCTGGGAACGCAGCCATAGGTTAAGCTGGTGAGCGGCGTAGCAAACTGCGAACGGCCACAGAAAATGGGGTGCACCGGCATGAATCATAGAGGTTTGAGCCACCTCCATGACCAAACCGATGCGTCTCTCAGCGACCCCATTCTGCTGCAGGGAGTCCGCTAGGGTGTACGACTGGGAGATGCCCTCTGCACGACAGAACTGGTAAAGCCGACGCTAAGGTCGTGAATACTGCCGACACCAACTAAATTCCGGGAGAAGGAGGGGATGTGTAGGCCTGTGAGGGAACCCGAGGGAACCGCTGGACAGGGAAGGGTAGTGTAGCTGCGAGCGACTACACGAATGGAGGAGGGGTCAGTAAGTACAACAGCAGTAGGCGCGACAAGCGGCGTAAGCTCAGCGTGCTCGCGGAAGAAGCAAGCAGACGCACCTGAGTCATGTGAGAAGGACAGCAAAGTGGTTGCGGCGGACTCAGGAGGAGCAAGGGTAGAGCCTAGGCTAGACAAAGCAAGCGGTCCTACTCCTGATGCAGCAAGGGTGTTTGTACTACATAGAGGTGATAAGATCTAGACACACTAGAAGTGTCAGTATACAAAGAATGTAGGGCAGAACTAATCTGATCCATGTCTAAGTCAAAAACATGCACACCGTGGCATAGCAGACTAGGCCAGTCAGGGAGGTCCGAGGCCGGGCCGAAGCGGCGATGGAAGAGGTCGTCGAGGTGGCGGAAGCAGCGGGCGGTCAGGTGCGGGCGACGGCATAGAGTGCCACAGAGGGGCTCGATCTGGAGCTGGTACTGGCAATTCACAGCACCGAAGCCGCCGGTAGACGCCGAGCTGCGAGGACCGCCACCGCGGCCACCACCTCCAGGGGCTCCTGGCCACCCCGGCGGGAGGCGGGCCCACGGCTGGTGCTGCTGCTGCTGCTGCGGTTGATGCTGCGGCTGCGGCTGCTGCTGCTCCTGCTGCTGCGGCTGTTTCGTCTGCTGCGTCTGCTCCGGCTGCTGCTGCTCCTGGACACCTGTCCCAGCCCCCTCATCAGAGCCACTATCTCCGCCACCACCGCCTCCACCACCAGCACCACCACCACGCCCTCCCTTGGGACCGCGACGGCCCCGACGCTGTCGCTGCTGCTGTGGGAAGGCCGCGGCTGTGGTCTCAGTGGCAAGAGCAGCTGTAGCAACAGTGGTGGCATCCGACTGAGAGTCGTGGAACCCGAGGGACTGCAGAGTGGCGGCCAGCTTGTTGTGCCACTCGCGAGGGGCCTGCTGAGGCCATAGATCGGGCGGTGCAGCTCCCAGACTGTGTTGGGAGGAAAGGCTGCATGATAGCCTTGAGGCTGCCGCAGGAGGACCCGCTCCTGGAGCTAGCCTTGCAGGAAGGCGTTGGAGACATCCATGGAGGCAATCTCTATGCCAATGTGGACGGCATAGTCGAGGAGGGCACGGAGAGTGGGGAGCTTGGCAATGGGGGAGAATGTCTCCTAGTAGTCGATGCCATGGGTCTGGGCAAAACACTTGGCACAATACCGGGCCTTGTAGACCGGTTCCTCACCCGGCAGCTGCTTGACGTGGAACACCCGCAAACCTTTGTAGCAATCTTGCGGACCACAAAATGATCCTGTTGGACCAACTCCCGAACAAAGAAATAGCGGAGTTCAATGTCCTTGGAGTGGCCATGGAAGACAGAGTCCTTCGTGAGGTGGATGGTACTGGTGTTGTCGCACCAGAGGGTGGGACAGCACTGAGGAGCACCGATCTCAGCAAGGAGAAAGGTGAGCCAGCGAGCCTCCTGAGTGGCCATAGTGCAAGCGTAGAGCTCAGCCTCGCAGGAAAAGAGTGCGATGGAGGAGGAGCAAGTAGAGCGCCAGCTGATGAGGCCACTGCCACAGGTGAAGCCGTAGCCTTGAGAGGAACGTCGATCCGGCTGGGAGTCGGCCCAAGAGGAGTCACTGAAGCCGGAGAGAATGGGAGGAGAAGAGCCTCCGAGGGTGAGGACATAGTTCTTGGTACCACGGAGGTAGCGGAGGACCCGTTTCGCTGCGGCCCAGTGCTGGTCAGTGTGGCGACCGGTACCAACGAAGCGAGCAAGAACGCTGATGGGGTAGGCAAGGTCGGGGCAGGTGCACATCATAGCGTACATTAGCGAACCGACGAGCTCAGTGTAAGGATGGTCAGAGGTGGAGGGAGCAGGAGGAGGGGCAAGCTGGTGGTCGGTCTGCAGGGGAGTGGTAACCGGCTTGGCCTGCGCCATGTCGAATCGCTGCAATACTTGGTCGATGTAAAAGGACTGAGAGAGGGTAATGGTGCGCGATGCGCGGTCCCGGGTGATGGTCATAACCTGATAGTGCTTGAGCTCACCCAGGTCCTTGCACTTGAGGCGTGCGTGCAGGGCGTCCTTCACCTGCTGCATGGTGGCAGCATTGTCAGTGAACAGGATCATGTCGTCGACATACAGCAAGGTGAAGACGCGGGTGGGAGAGGAGCGAAGGAAAAGGCTGGCATCGGACTGAGAGGCGTGGAACCCGAGGGACTGCAGAGTGGCGGCCAGCTTGTTGTGCCACTCGCGAGGAGCCTGCTGAGGCCATAGATCGGGCGGTGCAGCTCCCAGACTGTGTTGAGAGGAAAGGCTGCATGATAGCCTTGAGGCTGCCGCAGGAGGACCCGCTCCTGGAGCTCGCCTTGCAGGAAGGCGTTGGAGACATCCATGGAGGCAATCTCTATGCCAATGTGGACGGCATAGTCGAGGAGGGCACGGAGAGTGGGGAGCTTGGCAGTGGGGGAGAATGTCTCCCAGTAGTCGATGCCATGGGTCTGGGTAAATCCCTTGGCACAATACCGGGCCTTGTAGACCGGTTCCTCACCCGGCAGCTGCTTGACGTGGAACACCCGCAAACCTTCGACAATGGCATTTTCTGAAGATGGAACGACTGTTATAATCACA